TGCCAATAACTATTTGGGACTTGCCGTAAGTAACTTATTATTTATGTAACAATTTGTCCTCAAGAGCCATCCAAGGGTAATTCAAAGGGCAATGGAATGCCTTAAATCACATGGCGCCGGTATGAGTTCCGTGCGATTTATCTGTGGAACAACAGTGAGCCTAAATATTTTTAAATTTAATAAGACATCTGCAGGATATCCATAAACAATTGGAGGAACAAATTGCTCGTTTCCATGGCCGGGAAGATTCTATTTTGTTCCCTAGCTGCTTCGATGCGAACGGGGCAATTTTCGAAGCCCTGCTTCAGCCAGAGGACTGTGTCATTTCTGATGAGCTAAATCACGCGTCTATAATCGATGGCATCAGGCTTTGCCGCGCTAAACGTCTCAGATACAAGCATGGTGATATGAAGGACTTAGAGCGCTGCCTGAAAGAAGCCAGTGACTGCCGTACGAAACTGATTGCCACTGACGGTGTTTTCAGTATGGACGGCAATATTGCTAAGCTTCCGTATGTCACGCTTAACATTAATTGATTATTCACTCTATTAGTTAAACATGTATCATATATTAAATTATAAATTTACACTTCAATTCTCGTTTAAGGCAAATTTGTGAAATTGCTGATCGATATGGCGCAATCACCTTCATTGACGAATGCCATGCTACTGGTTTCTTCGGAAAAACCGGCAGGTAAGAGGTTGATTCTACTATATTGAACACCTTAAAAGTTTGAAGTCACTCGGGACTCAACATCTGGTTTCTATTCTCTAGGGGCACTGAGGAATACTATGGCATGCAAGGAAAGGTCGACATTATCAACTCAACTCTAGGCAAAGCACTTGGCGGTGCTTCTGGTGGCTATACGGCCGCATCCAAAGAAATTGTCAACCTCCTCCGTCAGCGTGGCAGGCCCTACCTCTTCTCCAATAGTATCCCACCTGCAGTAGTCGGCGCCGCCTTGGGTGCTTTCGAACTTCTCACAGAAAGTTCCGCTCTGCCAGAAAAATTGCACGGCAATATTAAGAGATTCCGTGACACAATGACCTCCCGAGGATTCACACTGGCTGTGAGTTACGACTTTGGTCCCCTTATTTAGCATTTATTCATGCGGATACTTATCCTTTTTCTGAACCTCATTTAATTTCCTTTTAGGGTGACTACGATCATCCTATCGCTCCCGTCATGCTCGGTGATGCTCGGCTCGCCGCCAATTTCGCCGATGAAATGCTCAGTACGTTGATGTCACCTATTAAAATTTCAACTCTTACTAAAATTCATTTACATCCGCCTTGTTTTTTTTCACTCATCAAATAATTGACGCGCGATTTTAATCATTTTAGAACAAGGTATCTACGTCATTGGTTTCAGCTATCCAGTTGTACCAAAAGGAAAGGCACGCATACGTGTCCAAATCTCAGCGGCTCACTCTACTGAACAGATCGACAAAGCCATCGATGCTTTCACGAAAGTTGGCAAGAAACTTAATGTTATCCACTGAACTAATACCTTCAACCAGGGAAAATTTCGCATTCAATAAGAATATCTTATTGTGTTCTTTTCGAAACAATGTAAATGCAACCCCTCTCCCATTTTAGCAATAAAATTGTTCTGGCGTCTCTATTATTCATGTATCCCTTATTTTCCGATTTTGGTTTCATTAGTAGGATGGAATCTACATCTATTTTTGTAAAGGTCTCCATCAAAAGGAAAAAATGTTGCTTGTTAGTGGTTCAGCAGTTTAACTTATTTGGGTTCTCGTCTTTTATACAGAGTCTGTCGTGTTAGCCTGTGTAGATGAAGATTTTAGGGGACTTATGAATACGCACAAACAATAATTATATAAAATAATGTCAGAAATTTATGAACTAAGTCTGCGCACATCTTCCTCGATCGCTTAAAGTTGCGCGAACTCTGACATATTCGACGCTCTTAAAATTACCATTATCCATGCCATCTAGATTAGGCAATCAGATCACAAAAGACAAAATTACAATGCACAGTTCTCTCATTTCCTTCTTTCGCCAGTCGACAATTCTCTTTACTTAAAAATACTAAATGAGCAAGGGTCCTAGTAACATCTCCCGTACTTTGAACCTCGAGTAACATTTTCGACGTATACTCTGCTAGCAGCTGACGTTTTGTACCCAGCCATTAAGTATGTTTCCTCCATTGCGAAAGAGATATTGTTGTAACCGAACCCGTTCTTTTAGAGCCACCTACTGTTCATAGTTATT